CTACCCCAGTTACCACTACTGTGCATGTGTGTCAAGGACAGAAAGGCAGAYGTGGCAGTGGAAGGTGTCAAAGCAGTTTGGAGACAAAAACAAAGTAAAAAACCAACAAACAAAAAATGACTAATTGATTATTAAATTAGTCAGAGACTATTTTAATAATCAATTAGTCGTCGACTAATCGACTAATCGTGGCAGCCCTAATTCTAAGTAGGAGTGCAACAATACATGTATCTGTTTCAAACCATTCAATACAGTGCTTTAGGTTCAGTACACACTATGCATCGAACAATACAGGTTTTTTAAATTTATTTTGTCAACTTGTCTTCTGAAGACGCTCTGTGTTGAAGGATCAGTGGATCTGTGTTCGACTACTCCACCTAGGCTGCATTGTTGAGCACAGATCCACTGAGAAACTTGCTGTTTCAGCAACATTTAATTTAAAAACTGGACTTTTGAGGTTAAACAAATGTTCATAATTAATTTAAATAAATTACAAGTGTAAAAGGGCATGGAAATTTCTCTTTTCGTATCGAAAAAATATCGAACCGTGAGACTAAAGTATCGAACCGAACCGAATCGTGAATTTTCTGTATCGTTGCCCCTCTAATTCGAAGGGTGACTGTAATGTTTTCTGGTGATAATTCTAATGGCTCTTTTCTGTAAAATGAAAACAGGATTTGTGATTGTTTCGCACACTTTCCCCCAGACTTCAACACAGTAAATCAAGTGTGGAACAATTATTGTATTATATAATATAAACAGAGCTTTATCATTAAATAACTCCCTTACTTTATGCAGTACTGCAATATATTTAGCTATTTTTGTTCTTAAGTGGCAGCTTTTCATCAATAATAAACACCAGAAACTTCACCTCACTGACTCTACAGATCTCAACACCATCAACTCTGAATGGAACATCAATAATTGTCACTTTATCACTCCAGAGTGCTTCAGACTACAATCATACCACAGATGGTGGTAAGAAAGCTGCCCCGGGGCAGAATGACCGGAGGACTGTCACAGAGCCCTCTGTCCACCAGCAGCAAAGCCAGTGAAAGTATTTTAGGGACCACTTCTCATGTGTTTATATCCACTCATCTGACTACATACATGTGGATGTATGATTTGTTTATCATGTGTCTGGTGTGAACAGTAAGAATTTTCACATTATTAAGAGTTTCTAGTATCACCTCTAAGTGTCACCAGTGGAACCAGAACCACAGAGACGTTCCTAGACCAGCCTTAGAGTTGGCTTTGTGCTGCACATGCTGTATTTGTCCTGGATGGATAGAAATATAAGTACAGTCCATTTACCATTTACCATATTTCCACAATCATTTCACTCTTGAGACAGCTGAAGGTTTACGTGAAAAGGTGCGCATGCACCATTGATACACGAGGCCCCTGATCATTTTTTGTTTTCATTTGTAAAATCCTAGAACTGAAGGAGGATGGACTTGTTCCAGTGATTAGCAGCAGCTTAAATTAAGCTCAGTTACACAACAACCCTTACACTGTTTATTAAAGGTAAGCCTGCCGGTGTTCTGTCGATCTGTGCTACCTCGTCAGACCGTAGCACGACTCGATGGCTAGGTCTACTGTCGGTGCTACACATCGAAAACTGCTACCGTCATGTTTACAAAAATATCATCGGGTACAGTTCTCTGAGTGATGGTGTTACTGAAGTGTAAGCTTAGGAGTTATGTTTAGCATAGCATTGGAACAATTTATATACACAACGAAAACCTTTCTAAAATCACAAGAATATTATCAGAATATCCAAACCATTGAAAGTGAAAAGCTAACACGTAGTTGACGCTAAACAATAAGTCATTTGTTGTTTACAGTGTAATAACGATGTTACAGGCATCAAACTAAAGCCATTAACTAATATTTTCACAAGCCATCAATCATAAACTTATAAGTGACGCTAAATGGGACTAATTTCTTGTTTACAGTATGATAATGTTGAAAACAGCAAAAGAGCCATTTATGTTAATATGTTTGAGCAGGGGTGCCCAACCAGTGGCCCGGATTTCCAGGTGCCCGCGCAGCACAACCTTGCTGCGGAGCATCTAGCGCCGGCTCTGAGCGTCGCATACTGGAGTGGCTGGTCTTGTTTGTTTGCTCTGGTTCTGCCCTACAAGGTGAAAGTTGAATGAAGTCCCTGCAAATTTCCCCCGCAGAGAAATAAGCAAAACAACTTTGAAAATACGCACAGTCTGAGCTCCCGCCGGGGTGATTGTAGCCCTCCCTCCTGGGCTAGGAGTGTCAGATCCTGGAGTGGCTGGTCAGGTTTTAAAGCTCTGGTTCTGCACTACAAGCTGATACTTGAATGGAGTCTCTGTAACATTCCCCCGTGGAGCTATAAGCAAATTACGCACGACTTAGTGCATTTTATGCACATTTTCAAGAGGTAATTTCAACCTTCATTTGCTTCTCCCGTGGGCTCTGAGCATCGGATTGAGATGACTTTGGAAAGTTACGGTCCTCCTCTACAAACTGGAGGTGGTTGCAAGTTCCTGGGACGTTCCCCCGCAGATCTATTAACCAACGACCGGCTGAAAAAGGCGCTTTGGCGGGCAATATAGTACTCAATTTACTTTGGAGCCTCTAGCCCCGGCTCTGAGCATCGGATCCTGGCGAGAGGTGGCTCGTTTTAAAGTTCTGAATCTCCGCTACAACCTGGAGGTGGTTGCAAGTTCCTGGGACGTTTCTCTGCGGAGATATAAGTGATCAAAAGTCTTCTGGCGAGCTCCGGTGGGGTGAAACGGCTGACTTCCAGCACGGGGCTGCTGTGCTGATGCAGGGAAATAAAAGGAAGAGATCCAGTGAGGTGGAACCACGGTCATGCGTCCAGCACCCGCTCTCCCACCTGGATTCAGCCAGAAACCCCTGGTGGGCGATATTTCCGCAAAAATGCATAAAATTCAGAACCCCACCTGATGGATCACTTCCAGGCAATAAAAGGAACAGATCTGATCAGGTGAAACTGGTCCTGGAAGCTCAGCACCGGGTTTTATAGCCACCTGCGAGAGAGTTTTATATTGTGTGCTTTGACTTTGAAAAAAAGGGCAGTACTCTTGTGGTAGCCATGTTGACCATGATAGATTTTTTGTTTTGGTTTTCCTCCCCTTTATGGAGAGAAAGAGAGGAGAGTTATTGGAATAAATGGAGACGAGTTCCCCTGCTCCAAAGTTATTTGACTCTGTGGTTCTCACTGGGCAGGTTTCAGCCCTCGCAGCTCGCACATTACAGGGAGTACTGATTGAAGGAGATAAAAAAATGGTACTTTTTGTTCAAGCATTACTTTTCTGTTTCTCTGTCAGGAGTTAAGTAAGGATTTTATCTTTTCTTTTTTTGTAGGTAAATATATGGTTAAGTAGATAGTTTTGTTTGACAATACTTTAAATTAAATAAAACTAGCAACACATTATGTTCTGTTTTATTTGCTTTAAAGAAGTGAGGAGTAGGGAGACCATATTATGTTTTTTGATACTGAGACTGGACGAGTAGCTCTCGGCAAAATGAGATTACTGAGAAACTTCAAAAGTAGCTCTTGGTTCAGAAAAGGTTGGGCACCCCTGTGTTTGAGTAATATATCAGCTTAATTAGATAAAACTTACCGTAACAAATGAAACTTCTACAGGTAGCACGTAACAATAAGAAATCTGCTGAGTAAGCAACATGTGACATAACATCAGTCTGCACATTGCCACGAGGTAGGACAGAGTGATGGGTAGCAAAGACCATCAGAACACCGGCTGTGGTGGGCACAGTTCCCCTACGGCACTAATAGGGGAACTAATTTCCTGATTAGTGCTTTAGGGCTTTTGCTCATTTTAAAATGTGTTAGTGAATTAGCACTTGCTAAATTTAGAAGCACTAACTGAGGTCTATTGATCAATGTTAATGTTAACAGCTGAGGGTGAAAGCTGCACATTTTGTTCATGTCTGTCATTTATCCACCAGGTGACAATATATTAATATATAAATTGAAATCCAGCTTTGGAGACAATTATAAGTCTAAAGAGAGCAACATGGCAACCTGTGACTCATGTTGTCTGTTGAACAATGTTCATGGGTTGGCTGGGTTATTTTAGTGCTTTAGAATTAGGGGACTTAAATATTTGAGTTAGTGTTTTAGGGCTAGCGGAACTAATTTTTAGATTAGTGCTGCCCACCACTGCCTGTCTGAATGTGTCTCTTCATGCTTCTGTCTTTGCTCCATCTGTCCTCACAGTTGCCATGGTCATTAAAACACAGCGGCCATCAGTGAAAGCCAGACTGGGCTCGCAGCAAAAGCTCCACTGTCAGTTTAGCGTTGACCACCGGGGAGCAAACGTCACTGTGGAGTGGCACCGGCAACACCACGGAGAGAGGACCAAGCTCTTCAGCCACACCAGTCGTACCAAACTGGTCCAGGGCTCCGGTGTGGAGCTGAAGGCCCTCGCAGGAGGAGACGCCTCCTACACGCTTCCCTTCACCAAGGTGAAGAGTGACGGAGCCTACATCTGTTCGGTGCTCGTGAATCCACTGTTTGGGAGTGTGGACATCAATCTGCACATTGAAGGTGAGGAGGGGGAGGCATTCTGTGGAGAGGAAGAGGAGTAGAAGTAAAACTGAATCCATGCTTGTGAATGAGAGGAAGACAGGTGGAACTGTGAAGCTGACAGGAGTAGAGGAGCTGAAGGTAGAGGAGTTTTAATACCTGGGGTCAACCATCAAGGCAATGAGCAGAACACAACATAGGTGAAGAGAGCGCAGCAGGGTATGGAGGACCAAAACTGCCATAATCAAAAATAAAAGCAGAAATATATGGGCCAATAAATAAATAAATAAATGCATTAAAATGCACCATTTGATTGTTTTTTTTATTTTATTCATTCATTAAAACAAACAAAAGAAAATCTATTTACAATAAAAAACAAAACAAGTCATAAATGAAATGAAAGTTAACAGAAAGAAGAAATCTTGTTATATCTGCCTCTGTTTCCCCCTAAAACTTAAATTCAAATAAAAATCAACATAGAGTCCTCGCTGAACAACAGCTTATGTCAACACATATTAAATATCAGATTATTTCAACAAACTAGCCTTTACCATTCTCATAATATACAGACTTTTCCAGACATTTCAACATCAATCTCAAGATTATCTACAGTTTTATTCCCTGAATTTAAGCATTTCTTCCCTTCAAAACTGGTTAGAAATTACAGTTAAAAAACAGTTCCTGTAAGGCTGTAGCAATTATCTCTCTTTTAAGTTTTGATTAGAAGCTTAACAAGATGTTTTTGTGAGCTTTACACATAACATGTAAGATATAATCAAGTGAGTCATCAAACTTCAATCATTTCAGCTGATAAAATAATGTACACTGCTCAAAAAATAAAGGGAACACTTAAACAACGCACGCTAACTCCCGATCTTAATCAATGAAATATTCGCATTGAGTACTTTGTTCTGCACAGAGTTGAATGTGCTTCACAAAAGTTTGATTTACTTGGACTTAGCGTGCGTTGTTTAAGTGTTCCCTTTATTTTTTTGAGCAGTGTATTTCTTGGGTGATTGTTACGTTTTCTGGTACTGATTTTTACCCGTTGTTTGTTGTAAAATAACAGGATTTCTAACAGTTTTACATCCTTTCCCCTAGACTTAAATTAGGGATGCACGACATATCGGTATTGATATCGATATCAGCCGATATTGGTCAGTTTTTAGAATATCGGTATCAGTCCGATGTGTAAAATTGATTTCCCACTTTTTATCTTTGTGTTTCTGTTTCGGGAGGGGAGATGTTTGGTTGAGCAGCATCTGTTTGATCATGACAGTGATATTGATGCTGCGCAGCCAGGAATAACTGAAGCAGGGAGCCATGTCAGAGGTCTGGTTATTTATTTACAGTATCAAAAAAAGACCCGTGTGTTTGTGTGTCTATGTATAATATAATTTGTGTGTTTGTGTAATATTGGTAAATATCGGTTATCAGCCATAACAGCAATAATTTTAATGGATATCGATATCAGCTGAAATTTTCATATCGGTGCATCCCTAACTTAAATTTAATAGATGAAATGTCAGAGCTTTATTATTTACTTGATACAGCATTGCAACTGATTAAGCTATTTTTATTCTGAGTTAATTTATATGAAATTTTGTCACACAAACTTTACCACACTAACTTAATAAATCTCAACACCATCAACTCTAAATGGAACCCCAGTAGTCGTCTTTTAGTTTCTAAATATCATGTAGTTTGTTTTATTCAAAATCAATGATAACTTATTAAGTTGAACCAGTTTGTAGCTCTGGATCACCTCCAACATCTGTCTACTGAAGTTGTGTATCTGACCCCAGTGTAAACACCTGGAAACAAATGTTGCTCTTGTTTCATAATCATCTCTTGATGTCAAACCCAAATGTTTTCAGTTGACTGTGGAAGTGAAGGTAATTACCTCTTTGTTCTAATATTTTTAGAGGGAAGTGTATTTCATGAACAGTGGGATGGGTTTTGATTAAAATCTTAGAAAGTAATCATTGGATATACCTACTTCCACAACCGATTCAATATGGCTGATCAACAACACATTATCTGAGTACTAACAGATAGTGCAAAATCATTTCTTATGTTTGCTATTAACTATTTGGAATCAACTCTGTCTGTTAGCAAAATATCATATAAGACACTGAACAGATTTGAGTGAAACTTCAGGAAGTATTTGTTGGCTGTACATCTAAGCAGGGTTCACACAGGTTTCAGTACGTTAAATTTAAGACCATTAAGAATGACATTTCAGACCAAACCGACACATTAACAGAAACATTCAAATGGTCCCAGAAATTATAACGTAGAAACCTTTTATTGTTATCAATTTAGCTATTAAAGAATACATAATTTTAATACTAGCACACTAAATCATTTTAATGAAACAGTCATATCTATGAGACCTTCATAATGACTGATGTGGATCGCTTCAA